ATGAGAATAGGAAATGGCCAAACTGTCAATGCAGAGTAGAGTATCTGTCAGTGGGTAGATGGAAATGGACAATGGTCAGAGAGACAATGGTGTCTATTTAAATTTTAATCAGGTTTTATATTTATAAAGTTTCTGCAACAGGCAGCTTTCCCAAGTCATATTTTACTGTCATGGTGGCAACAGATCCCTTTGGATTGACTCCTGCATGTCAGGGCAACAATTTGTGAAGCCATTTTCTGGATTGTAATCATAGAAAGTTGAGGACTCTTAGAATCAATATTGAGTAGTTACTAGTTAATGACTTTCCTGGACTGTCAAGATGCCCTGTCTCCTACCAATGCCAGAGATAGGAATATGTCCTGTCACCCTGACTAGTAATTAGGATTGGGGCAACATATTTGAAATTATATTACTTTAGGATAATACTACAACATAGCTTAGCTTGATGCATGAATTCTGTGAAGCCATTCAAAATGGTAGACATACACTAAACTTCTTAAACAGTATGGTGATTTGAATGAAACGTCTCCCCGTAGTCTAGGCATTTGAATATGTGGTTCACAGTTGGTGGTGGTTTGGGGATGTTAGTAGTTGCAGACTTGCTAGATGAAATATGTCTGTAGGGCTTTGAAGTTTCAAAAGACTCAGAGGCCATTTGGAGTTTGCTTTCTCTGCTCTGTATTTGTGGTTAGAGCTGCTACTGCCACCATTCTTGGTTCCTGTTGCCATGCTTCCCCATCATGAAGGTGATTACCTTTTATCCCTCTGCATACATAAACACAAAATAAGTCCTTTTTTCTGTAAATTACCTTGGTCATTGTGTTTTATCACACACATAGAAAAATAATAAATGTAGACAGAAACTTCAATCTACTGCAAGTGTTTGCTCAAAATGTTTTGAAAGTGTAATGAGCTGCTGTTTATGAAGAAGGCATCAGACCTAATGTACTAAATAACTGTTTGAAAAAAGAACTATACTGCATGGCCACACACCCAAGAATATATGGGCAATACTAATTGACCTTGATATACTAAAAAATGAAGAACCAAAGTTGGCTGGGAATGGAATTGGGAGTAAATCTGCAAGGATTGGGAAAAGGGAATGAGTGTGATCAAAATGCAATATAACAATGTATGAAATTCTCAAATAATTAATAAAAATGTTTTATCATGTCTTTTAAAATATCTTTATATTTTTGAGAATATAATATAATTTTTCTTCTTTCCCTTTCCTCACCTAAGCCCTCTCATGTATCTCTCTTTACTCTTTCAAATTCATGCTCTCTTTTTATTCATTGCTTTTGCATGCATACCTGTATATTTATACACAGACATATTTCTAAATCTAACCTGTTTAGCCCATATACTTTTATTTGCATATATGTTTTCAGGAAGGATCATTTCGTATTGAATAACCACTTAGAGGAAATGTAACATTAATGTGTATGTTATATGTGAATCTGTTGCAATATTGAACTTTTCAAAATTATTGACTACTAATATCTCATACAAATAAAAGAACTAGAAATTTCAAAACAGGGAAATTTATTAAAATAAAATTCAGAAAACTCTAACAAATAAAATCATGAACCTTAAAGCTTTTACTTTACAAGGTATAATGTCCATTGCTCAAAGTAGTATTCAGTAATTCTGAAGCCAAAAAGGATTGTAAATGTTTAGTTTTTTGTCACCTGTGAGTTGGAGAGTTTAGTAGCCTATAGAGATATGAACAGTTTTGCACCAAAACTTTTGATTACAAACTCTGAGACCCTCAGAGAATGTTGAATCTACTAAGAGCTAGAAAGTTGGCCATACTGAGATCCCTGAAACCTTCTGAAAGCATTAAGTCTTTTTGGTGGCTGCCGGGTTTAAAAGCAGAGGGTACATAGCACAGAGTGTGGACAGCTGGAGAGGAGCCACGCAGGAGGGAGGTATGTGCTTCAGAGTTGAGCTGAGCTGAATGTTCTGGTCAGAGAAAGGTCAGTCTCGACAAGAGCATGGATAGCACACCATGCCAACTCAGATGCCAAGCCACAGAGCCACTCCAACTGGTGGATTCCATTTGTTCTAAATTATGAGCCTACCAAAGGATCTTTTGTTTCGCATAAATATGAACGGTAAACAAGCTAAGCTCTAACAGGTGCAAAAGCTTATTTTGCCCTGGGTTAAACATACCTTTACCAAGTTATGGCTTGCCAGTCTAGGTTGATGACAAGGAGGTAGCTTTTTTTTTTCCATGTGGGTGATAGGTTATTAGTAGAGATATATCAACAAATTTAGTTACTGTTGTTACTGTAGCATTATATTTTTATTTCAAAGTGACAATTAAAGCAGTTCCTGACTGTTGCATTGCTGGGTCTAAAGTCATTTCAGTACTTGGCATTTGAGAACACTCTTGCCAAAGTTTGAAGTTTCAGTCCAAGCAGCTTTGGTGGCTTTCTGCCATTTTGAACAGCTCCCTAGGGTCCCCTGGGTCCAGCTGTTTCAGTAAGCTGTATTGTGGAGTTAATTCTGAAGGGGGATAATGAAATTCCAGCATGTACCACGGTGTCAGTAAATAAAAAAATTTGATTGAAGGAAGCAGCTTTTTCCCCTGGGTAATGAGGACGAGGAGTTAATATGCTAATTTGACTCTGAATTCATCGCCTTTGCTCTTCTGATTTTGCATTAGTGCTCCTGTTTATGCCTGTGCACATGTCAATCTGAAAATCTGCTAGTAGAATGGACAGCCAGCTGTCTGCGGTGCGGAGCCACAGCCACAGATTAGGTGTTCCCTCGGGGGTCCTTTCAGTCAGGGCTCTGAATGCACAGCTTATCTCTCATAAACTTGGTTATCCCTAGAGAAACTTTAAAAGAGGCTTTGTTTTTGCCAAGAACTTCTTTTTGGATGTCAGCTTAATTAACAATGATCCAAAGAAAGAGAAATGAGTTCTTTGTGGTCTGTGTAAGTGCTGATTTCCTACTCTTATTTTGTGAGGTTGTTTTTTTTTTTTTTTTTTTTTTTTTAAAACTAGTTTCTCAGCAACACCTAAAAGAAAAATCAAGTGTGAAGGGGAATAAATTTTTGTAGTGCCTGAATGTTCTGAGGTGGGTTTCCCCTTCTTCTTTCTAGGTTATATTTTAAGTAATTTTAATCAGTTACAAAAGTTTCCAGAGATTGAAAGTAAATAGATATTGAAAGCAAAAAGGATATTTGCCGTTCTTATAAAATATTGGAATTTCATATATTCCAAAATATTAACAATGTACTGTATGACAGCTCCTGGTTTTAATAGAGTCTGGCAAAGGTATAATGTGCACGTCACTTAAAGAATGTTTTCTACTGAGCAGTCACAAATAAACAGTGGCAACATTATTACTTATTAATACTTATTAAGAGATGGTGTAATTAGTCTCTAAAATAAGTGTAGATTGGATAGAAATTTACAGAGAAGACACTTGAACCAAGCCTGAAGAGCATTTCATGGAGGAGGGCGTGGAAAATGAGGACATATGGTTTTGGGAATTCAAGATTGAAGACACATACAAGCAGAGAGAAAAGTTCTACACAGGGGACATTGATGTCTTGTGACACAAGAAAAACTCTGTTAAGACTGAATGTAAAGTTTAATGAAGAATTCCTGACAGATGAGATCGGACTGTAGTCAAACGTCAAATCACTGACCAATGAAATATTTATAAATATATGATAGTTCCAACTTGTGACACATTCCATGCTAAGCAATGGATGGGGCACTAAGATTTGTTACCCACACATGTCTTGTAGAAAAACAAAATTTCACAGACTCAGAGAAAATGTTGTATTAAAGGTGCAATACTATCATGCCCACAGCAGGCATGTGCACAGACATTCTAAAATGGTCTCTTCCTTCTTGTCTTCACAGTCTCTACTTAGGTTAATTTCCTCAGGTTTTTTTTTTTTTTTCACATCCTTGAATGTCACATCTACCCAGGGGCCTTTTCAAAATATGTAGATGAGATTAGGTCCCCATTATCCACACTGACATGCCATCCTGCTTATTTTCTTCACAGCAATTACATTAAATGCAATTAATTACCTCTGCAATTATTTGTTTAGCATTCATCATCCATTAGTGTGTTGACATCCCATTGAAATGGAAGGTATTTGTCTTGCCAAAGATAATCTTCAGCTCTTGACAAATGTTCTCTGTACATTCCTGTGTAAATGCAAGGTAGTTAGGGGATAGAAGAAGACGGGTAAGAGAGCAACAAAAATCTTAGGTTGAAACAGATTAAAGAATTAACAAAGTCAGCAAATAGAAGAGAGAATGAGATCTGGTTTTATTTCTCTATTTCTAACTTGCTGACTAATTAGCAATGTGAATAAATAATAAGGTGAGGCTTGGATCCTCTTGGAATAAATAACTGGATCACAGCCCACTAAATTAAGTTTTGTTTCCTTTGGAATGATGTGATATTGTTCTAGTCTCATTCTGATTATTTTCCAAACATTTAGTGTGGACATTCTTTCTGTAATGTCTTAGAAATGCATCTTATAGGCATTGTTCTATGCTTTAGGTTCAGGAGACTATATACTTTCATTTTTGTCTTCATATATTTCTGACATTCATCCAATATCAAAACTGGACTTCTTTAACATATAGTGATACATATATATACATATATATGCATATATATGCATATATATGCATATATACACATATATATGAATAGATAGATATCTTCCAATTTATTAAGTTAGAGAGATCTTCCAATTGATTATGTTAAAGATTAGATTGAAAACTTGGGAACATTCTTATCTTTATTCTCAGATCTATTTTAGTACTGCTTATACTTGATTTTGAATTAAAAGTAGGGATCAAAAAGCAATCTGTAATTTTGAAGTTTAATCTAAGTATGTAAACCTTATGGCAGCTAAAATGTGAATTTTACAAGTACTTTATAAGCTATCTGTCATGCAATTATCTGATAACTTATTCCATTGATTTTGATTAAAGGTATTCTCTGCTTCTTTCCAGTTTCACACAGAGAAAAGGAAAAGGGAAAAGAAAAAATAAAAGATGGAGAAAAACCTGAGAAGAAAGGTATGCAGTTATTCTTTTACCACTTAAACATTAGAGATTTTTTCCGTTGGCATTTCTCTTCATTACCTTTAGACTTTAGAGAAAGTTGATTTTTTTCTTCTGAAATTTGTATTAAGTTTATTTCCATGGACTAGACTCCCCAAAGAGGAATTTCTGGACTAAAGAAAATAATGTACATTAGGCTCTTGCTATCACATTAGTCTTAGAAAATATGTCAGCCTTTCCTCTGGTTGTTGTGAGCTTGTTTGAGAATATTACTTGAGAAAAAAACTGTTCAGTTCTATAAGGAAAAAAACATTCTCACTTTTAGTTTCCATTGCCTATTATATTATCATCTTTCATATGGCTTATTTATTGAGAAAGGATAGGTAAGGCAACTTCACTGTTTGAATCATGAAGATGTTCTGAAAACGTTCCCCACACTGCTCTGATGTCAAACTTCCCATCCTGTCTCACCCCGGGTGCTGACACAGACACTTGTAGGAAGTTTTGTGATGCTCTCTAGAGCTTCGTTAACAATATGTGCACAACATTTACATCATTAATATATGGTTTATATATATTTATATGATGCTTACTATCATATTAGTAATTTATATTATTATTCCCAAATTTTATACAAAATCTAGAATGTCTTATATTCTAGTTTCTTAAATCAAAAATACAACCTAGAAAATTGTTATTTTATATTGTTAATTCTTCATTGTTTTTATAAAGCTACATAGTATTTGAAAAAGCCTATCTTATGTCATATTCCTTAGCTTATTGTTATGTGTATAGTCAACCTTAATATGATTTCAATGTTGTGAGTTTCCTCCTGTGTGACTTCATATTTCTTGCCCATTCATCCCCTGGTGTGTGTGTGTGTGTGTGTGTGTGTGTGTGTATGCACATACTCATGTGTCTAGATTCATTTTCCTGTACTATTTCTGTGTTGGCATTTTCATTAGGACCCATATTTGAGATTAATTCTATAGCAATAGTTTCCTTAAGTTAAAAAAATGTTCCTTGGTTTATATTTTTCTTTGATCCATCCACCGTGCTTCACCGTTTTGTGTGAAGTAAGATTATGGTTTGACTTTTGCTATTGTTTGACTGCATCACATTTGCATCCTCAATATCATAACTGGCTGAATTTTCTGGGAAACACTGCAGCTTAGATAGAATATATAGAAAGGATGTGATATTTATGAACCAGAACAGAAGAAACATATTTCAATATTACTTATTACATATTCACACTTGAATATTAGAGTTAAAGAGTTGCTCTTTTATTAATATTTACTTAGTGGCAATTTTCTTGAATTTTAAAGCTCCTATTCTCTTTGTCTCAGGCATATTTGCTCATTTCTCATCTGCTGGTGAGATATCAAATTCTGAACATAAGGCTCTATATATTGAAAAAATCAAATAATTTTGTGGTTCTTATTAATTTTCACAATTCAATATTGCTAAATGTTTTCTTTAATTAATTAAAAATTGCTCTTAAATTATAAATATAGAAAAATCCATTCAAACTGAAAGAATCAGAGATAAAAAGCCTTCTGCAAGTGTTTGTCTGTTTCCTGCACGTAAGTTAAAGATGTTTTTGTTTTAGGATCTATTTTATGAAAATGTTGGCATCTTCCACAAATGAATTGTTTATTTGAAGCATAAGACCATGCCACACATCCTATTGGACTCTCCAGTTTATCGTAATCTCAATACCAAGACCTTAGGATTTTTAATACATACAGAACAAAAACATGTTAAATAAATTAATATCAGTGAAGTAAATTAATAAATAAGGAAAGGACATATCTCAGGTATCATGTAGAATATTGATAAATTAAAACTTTATTATTTTAATAATCATTTAAATTATCTTATATAATACTGTTGATTCTCAGAGAAAGGTGTTACCCATTAGGGAATCTCTGAAATGTGTTGCTTGTGAAAAGGACATTGATGTATAGTAATGGGTAAGCAGGCATTACAAATGCTTGGCATCTTTGCAATGTTTAAAGCAGCTCCATACATTGGGGAGCTGCTCTTTTCCAAATGTCAGTTGTACGTCTGTTGAAATACACTTTGGTTAACCAATCTTCAGCCATGATAATATCTCTTGTTATCAATCCTAAAAAAGAATTATTTTCACAGTGTGTGTCTATTATTATATTTGTTATAAAATGTTTATTTTTTGGGTATCTTTCCTAAAAGCACCATGTACTTTGAGTAGAAACCTACAAAAGAAAGATGGCAGGTCTAGCTTTCAACATATTTTTTGTTTGTTTTGGCCAGGGTCTCACTATTTAGCCTTAGCTGTTCTGGAATTCACCGTGTAGACCAGGCTAGCCTCGAACTCATGGAGAGCTGTCTTCATTTGCATCCTAGGTACTCATTAAGAACATTTGCCACCACAGCCAGCTACTTTCTAACTCATAAAGTCTAATTTTATGAAGTATTCTATGCAGCTATTACTCGCTGGTTACTATATTCCTAAGATGGGGCCCTCGGTGTCATAAATCCCCATGATGTGGTTACCTATACAACTGTAGTCAGAAGAAAATTGGCTTTGAAATCTATTAAAAGTATATATGATTTGTAATTTTCTAATGTTAATTTTCTGTTTGAAGCAACTCAAAAGGAGAAACTTGAGAAAAAAGAAAAAGCAGAGCCAAAGACAAAAGGTAACTTTTATCCTTATTATCTTCATTCCTGAAGTCTTTTGATGATGAGAGTGTACATTTTGGCTGAAACATAAATGTTTATAATCATTTTCCATTTCATTTAAATACACTGGTTTAAAATTGGATATCTAATGAACAGTAAATGCCAATACACCAAAAAGATAACCTCAAAATATGAAAATAAAATGTCCTCATATGTGATTGGCAGATTTTTGGTCTCTATGACTTTTATCCCACACTGTCATCTCCAGGACACTTTGGCAGAGGTAAGTCAAGTTTAGTCAAATATTGGAGCAATGACCTTGATGTAACCACCTGCACACAATAAATAGCTCCAATGTATTTAAAAGCAGAGAAATTTCACAGAAAGCAAAGCAAGTTTTGAAGTGTGTGGTCTTAGCCTTCTTAGCTACCATGAAAATTATGGCGAGTACAGGGGGACCCTGCACAACAACACAAAGCAAATTCTGTATTCATGGTGAATAAGCATGGAAGCCAGTTTTTCCTACAGAAACTCCACTAAACAGCACATATTGGTATCTTCAATTTGCTCTTGTGAACTCAGAAAGGAAACAAAAATTTCCATATGAAAATCACTGTGATATAATATGCTTCAAGTCCATAAAAACTTTACTTCTTTATGGTGGAAGATTAATTGAGCTGTATTTTTCTACTCTAAGTTGGTCTACCTAATGTTTTAAGTGTTTGAAAAAATATGCATTTTAACTAATAGCACAACTATGTGACATCACTGTAAATGTTTTCCTTATATTTTAAACTGTGGTTGATATAAATAATATACTGGAGCAATCTTATTCCAGCAGTTTCCAAAAACAAGTTATGTGTGGGAAATAAATAACTGTTTATATTATGTAAGGATAATTGAATTTTTAGGATAGGTTCTAAAGCCAAATCTATGGTAATTTATTGTTCTTTCAATAGTGTATAGATGTATCTGGTCCCACAATTTTTTACAAATATGAGTCTTTGCATTTGATTCCTTGGTGCTGGGATTACGAGCTTGTGTCAAAACTTTTAGTGTTTTATATGGATGCTGGGATTGATTTCAAATCTTCATGCTTTCACTTTACCAACTAAGCAATCTCTCCAGCCCCTCAAATTTTAAAAATAATGTTAAAATTAATTCACTAAATAAAAATTTGAAGTTTGAGCATCCAGAAACCAAATGCAAAATATCACATTTGTAAAAAAAAATGCAGTACTAGATATGTGTGTTTCCTTTTGCTAGTACAATAAATTATCACAAACTCAGGATGTAAATAATTAATAATCAGAGATGACTAATATGCAATTTTAATCCAATTACTTCTGTACTCATGGTCTTGCTCATTACATAGTTCAAGCTTGGCTCATCTGATTCATTGAAATTCTTGTCAATCATCTGTTCATTATCACAAATTCACACTGACATGATAGTTGACTTTCATAAACCTAGCAAAAAAGAAAATCAGGACAGAAATTGATCTTAGGTTGACTAATATGGAATTTCAATCCAATTATTTCTATGCTTACTGAGAGAAGAATGTAGGGGTTGTTGGCAGCCATCTTCAGTGGCCACTACCAATGATTCCTATAACCAGATGTAAACGGTGACTCACCAATAAGATTAGGGTATTTTATTAGGGAATATGCCTTACTTACTGAGCACCAAGCCAGCCAGCAGGATACATAGTAAGCATCACCTGCCGATAAAGCAGGGACAAAGAAAGGGCTCCCATGTGCATTTCCTAACTCTTAAAATCTCTCCACGCATCACCTTGACATCACCCTGACCATGCCCTGTGGGCGTGGTCCAGCACACGTGTAGCCAGCCCTGAGGAGGTATGGTTACGGTGTCTCCCTACAGATTCCCATTTACATACGTTAATATTGATAGATAGATGTAAACAAATCATATACATTTTACACATATATAATATTCCACACAAGTGTTTTCACTTTTTTAAATCTATGTATATATATAGGGGAACCTGTAGCAATGCCTGCTTAGGAGCTGGCTAGAAGTCTGCACGACCACACCTGCGAGGGCGTGGTCAGTGTGACATAGAGTAAGAGTTTCAGGTGGCTGGGTTTTGCTTTTAGTTTTACCTTTTTGGCTTGCTGTACAGACTGCTGCTGTGCGGCTGGCTAGGTCGATCTATAAGTAAGGCTTTTCCCTATTAAATACCCTTATATTTCTACTTGGCTCCATATTGGTAATTTCCCACTTTTTATATATAGGTTACTTTAGGACTAGAAAATGTATGCAAGATCTTCATATGAAACATGGGAAATGTGTTTTTTTCTAAGAAAATAGACTAAAAATTCATAAACAAATCTGGTGGCATTTGACTTTAAAAAATGAACTCCTTTAGAATGGTGTGATAGGTATGGAAGCTAATGACTTCTGTCACTTTCATAGGACACAGTGTGTTTTTTTGTTTGGTTTAAACTACAATCTGTGAAGGACAGTAATTTTCCAGACCATACTAGAAATTCTTCCTGAAAGAATGTGCACAATTCCTTGTCACGCCGTGCCTGGTGCATGTAGCAGACCCTCAGTGCACATTGCCTACTTTCGTAGTCCACAAAATCAACCGAGAGGAAAGAAGGGAAGGAAGTTAAGATAAGTGAACCAAAGATAGGCCTGATTCTCACGCACTCCCCCCTTGCCCCCACATATCTCCAGTGTGAGACACATTTACCTATTTTAAGGAGTTGACAATAGAGGAGGAAAGTTTTCATCTTTATATAAAAAGCTATTGTCATGCTTCTGTTGAATGTATGGTCCTGTCTCTGAGAATTATTGTCTCTAATATTGATGGTATGAAAATCTGGATTTAACCAATCTTTAACTCCCCAGTACAAGGACAGAGGTAAAATCAATTGTGATCTGCAAGGCACAGGTTGATGTCATTTAAGATACCTAAAATAACCATTTCAATCAAAAGCACAAACAAACAAACAAAAAGCCTGGTAAAGTTTCAAAGTATTCTAAATTGTTTATGCATATGTACACATGACACACATGTAGTAAAGCATTTTTTCTTTGAGTCATACTTTCTAATTTCGAATGTGTTAACCCTGTTTTTCTCTGAAAATAAACACTGTATTGGATGCAAACTTAAGAGCAAGCTAAAAATTGAGTTCTTGAACTCGTTGTTCCCAGCCTGGCAGGGGAAACAGATAAGTGAATAATCCTGTACAATTCAAAATCTACAATAGGGTATAAAGTTCACACCTTCATTAATAAAAGTGCTGGCAAGTAGATGCTAAAAGGACAGGATAGTTAATTCCTGTGACAGCAGTTTTTTGTATGTGAATGGACTGTTACAGAATTAAAATATATAGGATAATATAGAGTTGGTAGTTTGACAAAGTTTGGAGTGTAAAAAATATACAATGTGTTCAAAAAACGAGCATAGCTGTACAAGAAGAAACTTTAAGCAGGATGCATACAAATATCACAGTGTCTTAGATGCTGTGCCAGAATCTTCAGAGATAATAACAATATGATGATCTTTTAACTCCATCAGATAGCAATGAGACAAGGCCCATCTAGGTTCTCTGCAAGGGAAATTTATGTGTGCACATCAAGTTGTATGTGAATTTGTTGTACAAAAGGGGGAGAAAGAAGCAAAAAACATTATTTCGTAGCAAAGGAAAGAGGAAAACTTCCACCATATAGTCAAAAAGCTACATTTTATGAAGAGAGGAATATACGAGAATTTTTTTTGGCAATACTGTTTGGCAATTGAGCTACTATGGTAGACACCATATAGTCTTGGTTCAAGTCATCTCTGAGGTATGCAGTGGTGAAGAAACTATTATAACTTCCTGATTTTCAACTTCTTTCATTCTGGTATCTAAGGCAGCATCATCTCTTTGGAATTTCCCCCAAAACAGTGTTTCCATCTGATGCTGGTCCTGTTGATCAAAACTGTATCACAGATGATTTGGGTTTTGTAAACAGACTGGTTTCTGAAATAATGTTCTCATTCTCTGCGATGGAAATACACAGGTGCATGGCTTATTTTACATCAAACCAAAATGCATGGAGTGCATTATTTCATCAAATTCTTTAACATGTGTGTCAAGAATACCTCTACAAAACATTGACAATGGCCAGCTAGATCACTTCAACGTATGTCAAATAGTTGTATGTGGTCCCATATGCAAAAAGTCAAATATGCAATATTCATAAATGGAGTATATTGTCAATAACTTAAAAATATGATTGAGTGTGTCACAGAATGATTAATCTATAAGCCAGTTCCCTCCCCCCAAAATACATATACTACCAAGTTAAGGTGTATTGAATAGATATGTGTATTCATGTATATTTTGCTTGCTAGCACTCTTTCCTAGGACATAAGGTCTTACAAACCACTAGTAATATTGTCTTGCTTATAAAAATGCATATCTGTTTTTGTACTGTCAGGCTTTGCAATCCGGTCCTTAGTGATATCTATCTTTCAGTTATTATTTAGTAGATGCCATTGTTCTAGTTTTGTTATTCAGTACCATGCAGGTAACTTTTCATTTATAAAAATGAAAAAAAATTCATTTATTTTATTAGAACTACTTTTTTGGCCAGGTGGTGGTGGCACATGCCTTTCGTCCCAACATTTGGGAGGCAGAGAAAGATGGGTCTCTATGAGTTCAAGGCCAGCCTGGTCTACAGAGTGAGTTCCAGGACAGGCTCCAAAGCTACACAGAGAAACTGTGTCTCAAAAAAAAATACTTTTTGAGTAGTGCTTAAGATTTTATAGTTATGGAGCAAAGTGATCACATTCTGTTAAAAGGAAATTCTTCAACTGGGCTTTTTATTGCAGACAATTTTCTTACTGAGGATGCTCAAGGCACAATCTCTGCATAAGACGAATGACTCATTGTGGACAGATTAAGCTCTTGATTAGAAAAACCAATTGCAAACAAACAACAACAGTGATAACAAAATGCAAATCAGTCTTTTTAGGCACAAATTAAGAAAGAGACTCATCTTGCTGATGACGTATATGCCTAATAAAATATTTATAGATTTTATAATACTCTGGTAACTGTCAACAGTATTTACACCAGGACTCTCATTTAGTTTGATTTTCTTGTTTGTCTTTTAAAATGGTACACAAGGAATAACGATAGTTGAAGAACTAGATGAGCAAATGAGGAAAAATAACTTTCTTAATTCTTTGCAGAAGACAAGAAAGTAAAGACTAAAGAAAAGACTGAAGAAAAGATTAAGAAGGAAATGAAAGTTGGGAAACAGGAGAAAGGGAAGCCAGCAGCTGCAAAAGTAAAAGAAACTCAGAAAACCACACCAAAAGCCAGGGAGAAGGATGACAAAGAGCCTACAGCTGTGCCTGAGCATGAACAGAAAGGTAAACATTCCGAGGCGGCGGCAACCGGAGCTTCTGGAGGTTCTAAGAGAATCTTGGGCAAGAAGCAAATGCAGTCCAATTAAAAGCTGAAAAAGAATAAAATTAAACTTCAGATGGGGTAAAAAAAAAAAAAAAAAAAAAAAAAAAAAAAAAAAACCCAAAAAGAAACATATGCCTGAAAGGAAGTACAGTGAATTGGGTATTAACATTAATAAATATACTAAAATGTGTTCAAATAGCTAGATGCATTTTCAAGTATGTATTTTAAGTGAGCACCCGGAGTTATTTAAATGTGGGGCTGAGTGACGATTTGAGCCAGGAGTTGGAACGACAATTGAACAATTGTAGGAGTCCGACTCTGGAGAAAGACGGTTTTAAAAATTGACAGCAACCCTCAAGGAGTTGCTCAAGAACCCAATCATACAGACGGAAAAAATCATGGAAACTCTACTTCCTTGATATTGCTGCAATGATACCATTCAGAATATGCGCATTAAATTGTCAATTCATTTAGTTGTTGCTGGAAACCTCTTGTAAGAAAAAGAAGTGTCACGGTGTTTTTTTAGTTCCCTTACAAAATCTTCAGGAAGCTCTGCATAGGACAGGTGTGCTCTTCAAGTATGGCGTGTTTACTCACTTCCCAGAAATGTATCATTTAAATGGAGAGGAAATTCTTTACAGAAACGTGCTGTATGAATATAAAATTTTCATTAAGGGCCTCTTTGTCTCACCATAAGAGTCCTTTTTGGGTTCTCCATTGCAAAATTCATTCCTCAGTCCAGGTTGCCACAAATCCTGACTTCCCTATTCAGGACACAGGGTCCACTCAGTGGGAACTGTTTCTGAGAATGACAGGTCTTTTCTTATGAATGCTACAAAGGAAAAATTTCCGTTACTCCAGTAGCAATCGAATAATTTCATCCACAACTTAAAGTGAACTAATTTATATCTATACAATTTTATTGATTCTTTTAAACTTTATTATTAAGAAGGCTAATTTGTCTATAGAACTGGAAACATTTTTTCTCAATACAAGGCACATAATATAAATTACACACTCTGTATTTTCATATTATTTTCCCAATTTCCCAATGTTTATATACTTTGATAGATAAGTAATGCATTTAAGCATATATTTATATGACAAAAAGGCACATGTAGAGAATATATTTACAAAGGGAATAAGAAAAGATGAATGGAGTAATTACCTTTCTTTTTCCTTTCTTTTTTCTTTTGGTGGTTCATGTGCTTTACGTTTTCAAGATGTATAGGACCTTGAAAAATTGAAAACACAAAGTGTTATCTTGTAAATAATAATCATGCCTGAATTTTTGAGCTATGAAACAATACAATAAAGAAAAATGCTTTAAATGGGTATTTTGCTGTGATAAAAATTGGGAAAATTAATCTTTTGATTCACTATAAGCACAGTTGGATATTTTCCACTCCAAATTGCCCTTTAAAAGAAGAAAAGAGTAACATGAAACCAATGAAAACTTATCAAGTGCATTTTAATCTATAATTTCATTATATAAAACATATGCCATTTACACTGAATGTCAAAATACTTACTTAGTGACTAGCCACAGGAACACAGTTTGGGATGCTTACTTTTCCTGTTTCCTGGGGTTTGCCAACCATATTTCAATGAGAAACTGATCACACCAGGACACATTCAAAGGGTGTCATTTTCCAGGTCACAAATACTATATTTTGTCATATCACTAATCATACTTATTAAAGACATAAATATATCCAAATCCCATTATAATTTACCCTTTTCATGTTTATATAAAGAGCTAGTTATTCATTAAAATGTAACACAAATATCACTTCCATTTAAAAGCAGAGGCACATAGGTAAACAGTATAGGTCATGACCGCCTACTGAGAACTGCTGTCCCAATTAAATAATTGTTTAATTAGGTAGACATTAAAATTTAACTTAGAATGGCTGGCCCAAGTCAGGCTAATTTTTTTCTTCCTCTGTCCCTTCCTTTCTTTCTCTTGTTCTTCTTTTAACAAAGCTGATATTTAAGAGCATTTGTTTTTAAAACGCTGGTCACATGGTAGTAACAGTTTAAGCAAAAGGAAGACATGGTATTTTCTATTTCTTTTTTTAAAGAGGTGACTTCGATTTTTAAATTCCTAAATTGATAGCAAAACAAAATTGAATTATAATCGTCTCTGGGCAAAATAAGGTTTGTGTACTTAGTTAAACTATTCCTAAATTTATTTTCAAATTAATGCCATGTGTGTATGTCTATGTGTGGATTTGTGGGGAAGAATGCAGGTGCCCTCCAAAGCCAGGAGAGGGCATCAGATTCCCAGGAACTGGAAGATGAATTTACCTCTTCACAAGCATGAAGCACTCTTAATTATTGGGTGGTTTCTGCAATTACTCATACAGATATTTAAAAACCAAACAAACAAAAATCCCTTTAAATACAGAGTGCCCTTGGTTCTTTTGGAGACAATCTTATCTGGGACAGAATTTGTTAGCAAAATTTGCCTACAGAGTAAAAGTATCAATAAACACCTCATTTGGTTACTTTCAACATTTATTATTACAGTATATAAACAATGTATATATACTTAAAACATTGAAAATACTTACCATAAAGTTACCCATACTAGCTTATCATATAATCTGCTTTTTATAGACCACTTCAAATTTACTCCAGGTGAGGTGGCAATGTTGACATGATTTGACATTTCTCCCCTGTTTCTGCTGCTTTCTGCCAAGTCTGTGGGGAAATAAAAATCTCACAGCTGTTATATACTATGCTCATTCTTTTGTTATTTTCATTATTTTTTCTAACAACTATGCAAGTACTGGTGGCAGCTGGAGAAAGTGTAGCTAATGAGGGCCTGCCATGGCACACCAGACCACACGCACCCCATCCTCATTAGAGATTGTTTTTTGAAAGCCTTTTCTGCTGATAGTCTGTGCCCAGAATGCATTTTCCCTTGGCTGGTACTCCACAGGGAGCACCTGCTGGGCATCAGCACCTGAGTGGCATAGCCAGTGCTCCCTGAGGAGCCACAAGGCAGGAATGGACAACATGAAATTAATTCTAGCAGAATTATTTTTTGCAAAACATCTTCAAATGGTGACCAAACAGAAAATTACTTTATAGAAGTTACTGCCCTACAACCATAAATGCCAGAGTGGCAGGCAGTTTAGACTTTTTTTCAGAGAAGTTTTCTGCTGTATGGAGATAGATTTAGAGAAGTATTTCCATAAAATGAATATTCTAAAGTCCAGAAGACTCGGGCAGGTGAAGGCCAACACCAGCTTCCTAGAATTTTCACAGATTTTTAAGGTCAACCTTGAGGACAGGTGGAATTCAGCATTATAACAAAAATTAATTTAAAACATACATAAATATTCTTCTTAAGTTTCCCTTGATATGTTGAAGTCACACGTTGCTTACATGCAGCTGTTAGTTTTAAAGTGTCATCCATTAAATAAGTAATATTCTAGAAGAAAAACAAAAAGCCTACTACCAACAACAAGCAAACAAAACCTTTTGAATCCACAAAGGATTTGCCACTTCATATTAAAATCTTATTGAACTATTCATACTTTAATTAAATGAATGACTTTTGGATCCAGAAGTCATGGGCATAATAAATATAGCCAGTTGGTGCCCATTTGAAAAGTTTCACTGTACTGTATTTAAACAATTAATGAGGAAAACTAGTGGGTACTTTTCAATTAACTCAGAGAAATATTCAGCATGGCCTAGGTGTAAAAACTCTATTAAACTTGGGGACAGAAAATAATATTTAATTTTGGAAGAGTGTAAACCCAAAAATAGTGAGGAGAAAACCTGAATCCATGACTGTTCAATTAAAGCAAGCTTTATTAATACTGGTCAGATCCATACCTGGGATTTGCAGAGAATGGCACTGAATTAGCTTAGTGAGGTGCCTGGAAAGGCCAAAACCCACAAGGCTAAAGTGCTTCCAACCTCCATCAAATTGGGGACAAGCATAATCCTTCCCCCTACTTCCTACCTACATGTGATGAAGCACATCCTGTGTGGTTGGAGCAACCAATCTATTTACTGAAGTGAAAACATGTGACTTGTTATCTTACATGAACAATAGCCCCCAGCATTCCAGTAAGTTGTCTGTCCTGGGGCAGAGGCACTTGCAGGTTAACTTTAGCCCATACAAGAGGTATACAAACCTTTTGATAGCATAAATAGTCTGTATCTTATGCATTTTGAACATATATAACAAATAATAGGGGAAAAATGTTGTTCCAGGAAGTTAAATTAAAGATAGTGAATTTTTTTTGAGGGGGTATAAATGAGGGAAAAATAAATAAGGAAAAAGAAGTATTGGATATCATGTTTCTGTGTGTGGCATTGTTCTTGTCTTCAAATCTTGATCTAGTATATTTTCTATGCCAGTCAGAGAATTAAAATTTAAGAAAACTCTGGAGTGTAGACAGAATAATCAGGTAAAGAAACATTTTTGATGGAGCTGAGGAAATGACAGAAAGATCTTCTGTAGAGCTGAAGGAGCACACAGAAAACCCAAGTCCCCTCTCTCCTCCAGAGCTGTTCTTTTTTTGGGGGGTGGGGGAAGTTCAAGACATGGTTTCTCTGTAGCTTTGGAGCCTGGAAATCGATCTTGTAGAACAGGCTGGTCTTGAACTCACAGAAATCCACCTGGCTCTGCCTCCTGAGTGATGGGATTAAAGGTGTAGGCCACCACCACCCAGCAAGACAGCTGATATTTTAAAGCTTTCATCCCCTAATTTAGGGTGAATCAGTTTGAACAAAGATAAAGAGAGTGATGGGCTTATAGCTTTTATCCAAACACATCCTGGTCAGGCATTGAACCCGGAAGATTGGTCCATGAGCAAGAAGCCCTAGTGGAAAAAGAAAAAGGATGCCAAGCCCGTTTTTAAACTGTTCTAGAAGATGTAAAGAAAGCCATTATTACTGTGTATCTGAGGTTCCCATCACAATCTATCTGATTATCAGGAATCTAAGTCCGAGTCTCCCAGTATAATTAGACAATGCTGGAGACTGCTAACAACACATACTCGTGATAGACCTGTGGTGTTAACAATTTTGTGTGTAAGAGATCCATGCATCTGCAGGTTTGCCTATTTCCTATCATTATGAAGGAAAAGAGGAAAAGACAGAAAAATTCTAAAACAAGGGGAAAGAAATTTATATATTCCATTTAAGAAAAAAAGATACTTGGCCTTGTTTTATAGTAAAATTATCTATTGTTGCAAGAGAGGAGGAAAAAATGTGTTTAGGATGTGAAAAAAAAGAAAAGAAAAAAGAGAGAGAAACCCCTATTTCAATGTTATTTTTCCCAGAGCCTGGGATGCTGAAGAAACCATGCTGAAGGTGTCTTAGTAAGCTAGTAGATTCTTGGGCTGGTCTGAAAGCTAGCCTTTTTCTATCCCTCACATCATTTCAGGAACCTAAGAACATATCATCTTTAGAAATGACATGAGCTTTGGCACCCTTATGTCAGTATTAAAGAAAAGGAACCTGCTTTTGTAGATCTATTGTAGTAGTGACATTTACTATTTTAAAGTCCTAGCAGAGCTTCACAATTGTTTTTAACTGATGTTAACACTTTGAAAAAAATGAGGTTTATAAATATTCTTGGATATGTATTTATATGGAAATATATTTAGTTATCTTCTGTTTGATAAAAATAATTTTGAACAATTAAAATATGTCACACCATAAAATTCAATAAACTTTCTTGGTGCTAAGGTGTTGTTTGCTTTTGGTGTGTTAAAAAATGCTGAATAAAAGGGAATTAAAATGTCAATCATTAAATACAAGATTCATAATATATAAGCTTTAGAGATGCTATGGTAAAGTTTATGAAATCTTTTAAAGCATTTTATAGTGGAAATTAGAGTTAGATTAACCACAGGAGAATCCAAAGTTAGCAAGAATATGGATTTCCAGGGGATATATGTAATTAAGAGGTGAAAGAAAAAAATATCCAACTTCTGAAGCAACTTTGGACATTACCTGTATCAAACATCTGTTTACTTTGTTAGTTTTATTTCTGCAGACTAGCCACAATCATGAAATGATCTCATATAATCACTCAATTAGCTTAATATTTCTGTTATTTGGTGATTTTTGAGTGTTTTTTCAGATCATTTTTCTAATGAAGAGAGTTTCCATGAACAGGATGCTGACAGTTTACAATGGGCTTCATTTGGACAGTTAGTGAGAATCTTAGGGTCTAGCTACCAGTTGGAAAGTATTCCTACTTGGAGAGAATGTTCTTTTGTATAACTCATGTTTCCTTCTCCAAAATCTCACCAGGACAAGTGAGTATAGGTCTTCTAAAGTTAGCAAAATGTTGTGAATTTTCAAATAATTCTTACCCTGATGCAATCATGAACAAGTCTGTTTCCATATTTAAGGGGTTTTATAGGTAATACATGGAACATTATGCTTATTATGTATTTGTCTCTGTATGTTTGTAATATCACAATTTATTCCTTCATAGAAATAAATGGTAGGCAAAAGAGACTTCCCAGTTTTGTTTGCTTTGTTATACCTTGTCGCCATATAAAATAGACAGATGTTGATGACATGTTTTCATTGCTTCTTTTTTCTCTTTATTCTGTCAGATCAGTATGCATTCTGTCGATATATGATTGACATGTTTGTCCATGGGGATTTAAAACCAGGTATTCCAAACAATTCTTATTGTTGTCTGTTTTAATAGCCTTTGTTTCTAAAATTGGCAGCTTTTTCTGTACCATGCTACATTTTCATTTAAAAACTTGCATAATGCATGTGCAGACCTAGAATAAAGACAATAAAATGCAGAAATAATAACTGGTACGGGGGGGGCGGCTTTAATTTTACTTGCATTCGCTGCATGGTCTGTTGCAAATGAAGTCAGCTGAAAGTTTAAATATTAATATCTTATATACAAATGCTAATATCTTTAATAATATCTTGGAGTGAAGCAATGAGTCAGTTGATTTGATTCCTTGTAAGTTCAGAAGAAAAGACTTATAACAAGGAAAACATCAGAAAAAAATCTTTTCTGACAGTGGACAAAATTCACTATTAAATCCATCACTTCTCAAATACTGAGACTTATCTTTCCAGGACATTTAGATTTTCTTATTTACATATGATCTTTGGTGATTCCAGAGAGCTAACCTTCGTTAATATCACTACAATTAAGTAAGGCTTTTATTTACATTGACAAATCTCTACTCTTTCATATCTTTTATTTTTATTCAAACTACGCTAAGGAAATCTTAATTAAGATTGATAACTTTATTCCTTGTACTATGCCTTATAAAATTTACAATCCCGAGAGACTAAATCCTCAGAATGGAAGCTCACAGTTTCAAGCAAACTATACCTTGTGACCTTAACTGTTTTGTGGAAGTCTTTCTAAAATGCTAATTATAATGTATGCATACATTGACAGCCAAAGATATCATTTCTGATCAAGTATGTAATTCATTTAGATCCTATATATTTAAAAGCTCAAGCGATTCTAATAACTGCAGAACATTAAGGCAATCCAGGTAACTGATTCTATCAGATGGTTTTTGCTTCTTCCTTCTCCTCTTCTAGTCTTTCTCTTCTCCCCTCATTCTTCTCTTTTCTTTCTCATTGTTTATATGATTTAGAAAGTGTGATGAAGAAAGATGAGTCTGGAAATGATAACACTTTCTTGATGAAACTAATCTCTTCCAACATCTGTATGTACTCACCTAACAGCATTTGGTAGACTACATCAAGGAAGGTGTGTGATCACGGGAAAAAGAGAGTTTTGGAAAAAATACACCTAATTCTTTTCTAGCATGGGACTTTTAACTAGTTGTTGGCCACCTGCTCTTCAATGTTATTCCATTTAAAACTGAATTTACAGTAAAGACATTTACCATTTGCAAAGCATCCAATGGATATACAGAAAAATGTTAGGATGCCTCAATTTGAAAATTTCCAAATTATTTTACCACAACCTTTGCATGAGTACCTCACACAAATGGTTCTTGAGTCCTGATATATACATACAATAAATTAAATTTCCCTACAATATCTGTTGCTAACATCATTCAGCCTTGGTAGTTGGAGAAAGTCTTACTCTAGCTGGATGATGACACAGTCCTATTATCCAGGACTCAGGGGATTGGAGCAGGAGGACAGAGAGCTTCTGATTGGCCTGAGCTTCAGAGAAGACACGCCTGAATAAACAAAAGGAAAGGAAAAAGTCATACTTTCTGTGTGCTTTGCTTTTATAGGATCAATCATGCTTAAGATGAACCATATTGTTGATATGCATGGATTGATAAATTACTAATATATATGTTGTTTCCTTGTTTGTTCCATTAGTTTCTAAATTTCATTATTTGATTAAAAACCCTTCTTTTGCTACTTCATCTATTTGTGTTGTCTGCTAATAGGTCACAGAATATTTCATAACAAAGTCACATGACAAAATGAAGCATGCATTGCCAAAAGCAGTAGGAGATGCTAGCATTTTGGCTGTCAAAATACTAATCAACTTCATAAAATATATCAACAGCTGAAGGTCAGAAGGAATGACAGAAGCATCTCTTTCAGGGTTAAAGTGGATTTTGCTAATGAATATGCAAAAAGGGTCTGCCTTAATGCTTAGGTGATGATACTCCAAAAGTCATAGATTTAAATCTCCAGCAGTGGATACTATTCTAACTCTGAAAAACGATTCCTAAAATGTGTAAGCACAAAGCTCTATGTTCTATACCTTACCTTATTATTTTCTTGGTTTATTTCATCTGTCTACACGTATTGTTTTGAAACTCTAATATGTGAATCAATGTTTTACAATAATATTTCTTGACCAGGCATTAAAATAGATTAAGAAGGAGAGGGGAAGTAAAGGTTTGCAAACTTTGGTTTTTCATAATTGGCACAAAAGGGGATTACACTATCCTTGCCATTGGGGCAGTGACAAAAAAATGAATGGTAGAATACAAAGTGTAATGAGCAATTTTTTACATAAGAAGTAAAAATGATTTAAAGTGATTTGGGTGGGCACATGAATTTGGGAAAAAGGTCAATGATATGATACTGATTCTGAGTGACAAATAGAGAATGAAATGTTCCTGCCAAGATTATTGCTCAATATGTGTCTAGTATTTATAAAACACTCCTGCTTCCACCTGGTTCTGCTTAGGATCCCAGAACACCTGTTATTGTTTAGCTGGAGTTCATTATTAATTGTTGGTAATGAGTTTTTAAAATAATCATTTGTATTTTCCCTCTGGAGTTCAGTAATCCTTTGTAGATGACATCGGATACCAAGTTTTGTCTTTATATCTCATCAAAAAAATACTTCTGAGTTGTCTTTAAAAGTTTAAACTGGCATTTCATCATTATACTGAACACAAATTAAAAGTACTTTGTTTCTCTATATTGAGCAGTGAATATGAAGTTTTACATGATAGTGATAATCCCATCCTTGGTTACAGAGATCAGAAAAAAAATCACTGAGTTAATTGTAAAGATTAGACCAGTTTGTTGTATGTGATTAACATTCCTGTATCCTGATTCGATTTATGTTTAATTTGAGTAATAAGGAAATTCTGTATAAATCTAGAAAGTGAATAATTGTCTTTCTTTTAATTTAAGAAATATTGTGAATTCTGTAGATAGTCCTTTGGGACAAGGAAACTATTATATTGTCTCAGCCTTTAGTAAGTCAACAATCATGAAATCAGTTAGTTGTATATGTTAGCAGAGTTTCAGCATGTGCTTTTCAGTATTGCTTGGGCAGAAAGAGAGATCAGGGAGAGAGAGTGGGAGATAGAGATCTGGTTCTCTGGTCCCTATGCAATCTTGAAGTTGGTAATTCACTTTCACCCAGGATTAAAATGATCCATTTGTGCGTTTATCACTGTCTTCCACGACAACTACTAAAACTAGACAATACAGACATTATTATCAACCCCAAGATTCAGTTCATTCTGGTTTGTTTTTTATTTTGTTGTATTTAGAAATCAACTGAATAGATGGTCAAAGTAAAACTTTTGGTTCATTTATACTGACCTTGTTTGTAATTCCAATGTTGTATTCAGTGCCTTGAGGCTAAGGACGTTTTTCCTTAAATAACCCTAGCTTCATTAATTTAGTAGCCTGAAGAGAAGTAAGAGGATTCTTCTTGTCATAGTCTTTCTTTGTGAACTTCAGCCTATGTTTAATGAACTTACCTGGATTTCTTAGCAGAATCTTCCAGGCTAAAGAAGAGAAAATGTTTTTAAGTAGGAAAGCTCAGGGCACACATTCACTGAGCATGAATGTCAACATTTAGTAGAGAGACCAGGGCTGGTGTGCTTTGTATTGGTAACTGTAGCACACTTTCCCCCAGGTTCTTCACCTCTATAGCTACTATGATTAAATTTTAATACAACTTAAAGTTTATCCCTTAGAAGTTATCTCAGGATTATAATTCTTGTAACTATATGATGTACCAGGACTTTCTTTGTACCACTGGCTCCCAAACAATAACATGGAGACTTCTTATTAATTATGAAAGTTTAGCCTTAGCTTAGCCCTTGTAACTTACAAGCTAGCTCTTGTAACTTAAATTAACCCATTTTTGTTAGCCTATGTTCTGCCACATGGTTTGTTACCTGTACTCTGCACTGAGTTTCTGTACTCTGACTTTCTCCACGTTTCACTGTTGAATTCCTTGCCTCTCAGATTCTCCCCCTAAATTCTTCTCTCTCCCTGGTAGTCCTGCCTTTCCTCTCCTGTCTAGCTCTTGGCCATTTAACTCTTTATTAAACCAATCAGAAGGTGCCTTAGGCAGATGATATAAAACAGACACATCTTTACGGTGTACAAAATGATTATTCCACAATATGACTTTTACTTGAGTCAATAACCTATGTCAAGATAATTTATTTCACTTTTATATCATTTATTTTCCTAAAATTTATGAAAACTACCATACCAAATTCTATCAGGCTACAATAAACTGTTCTTTTATAGCTTGTATTCCAATTCAATGGGCTTTAAGGAGCCTTGAGGAACAAGATAATCCTCTCATTTTATTATGATCCCTTGTTTGGATTTTTTGATTTTTTAAATTTAAATTTTTTATTGAAAATAAGTTTATTTTCATACAGTGTATTCTGCTCGTGGCTTTCTTTCCCTCATCTTCTCCCAGATACTTTCCACCTCACACCCTTCCAACTCCACACTTTTCTCTTTCTTAAGAAATCAGACAAGCAAGAAGACCGAGAAACAAAAAATAAACTAACAAAAAAATGAAACTAAGAAGAGGCACAAAAAACACACATAACACACAAGCACACAAACGCACACATATGCACATACACAAATACAACCCCCAAACCCATAAAAATATCTAACAAGTTTAAAAAAATGAACGAACACTGCAATACAAAATTCTCTAAAAATACCTATGAGTTTATTTGAATTTTGTTTTGTTTTGGTTTTTTAATTTTTAAATATTTTTATTATTTTAATTAGAGAGAAAATTATTTTACATGTCAATCCCAGGTCCCTTTCCCTCCACTTCCCCTCTGCTGCCCCCCCCCAATTAACACCCTATCTATCCCATAACCTTTCTGCTCCCAAGGTAGGGTAAGGCCTTCCATAGGGGGTCTTCAAAGTCTGTCTTATTCTTTGGTATATGGCCTAGGCCAGCTCCCTTGTGTCTAGGCTCAGGGAGTATCCCTCCATGTG